TGGCTTTTTGATCATTTGAATGAATAAATCTGATTTGAAAAATGTTTAATTTACGCTATATAAAACAGAGCTTTAGGCTATTAAGATTCAAATAATTTGAAGACGATGCATACAAAACTGCTTGGCTATATGTTATCCGTATCATTTGTTAAAATTAATGTTAAATAGCTCTACATTCCGACAGCCATCACTGATTTAGAGTTTATCCATTACGCACAAAACATCTCTGGTTTCCCGTTCCCACTTCATTCAAAACCCCACAAATGAATCTTTTATTTGTTTGGTGACCGGTGTGTTTTTTTGTGTGTGTGCTTATGCGTTTCTTTGCCTCCAGTTTCATATCAAACCATTTACGCTTCACCTCTGACATGGTTCTTTGTACCACGGAGACAACATTAACAGCATCTGTTACCTCCCTCCAGGCCTTCGCTTTGCCTGTCCCTGTCACACCACTACTGACTGAAGAAAATAATAAAATGTTTTTTCTTAAGTCCACTTCACCCAAAATTATTTCGATCTCCGCTTTGGAAAATTTTTTTTTCTTTCTTTCTCTTTCTTTGTTTGCGCCATGACTGACAGGTTGACTGGATGCACCTACACCTCCTTATATGGTGGTCATTGGCTATTCATGGGCGGGGATTTATGCTAATTACTGATTACCGGGCGCGCGCTGTCACTTTACGATGGATTGGCATTCATGATCATACACACGTGTTTACGATCAAACCTATTCTAATTTTTAGAGTTTAGATTGTGTAGGGTGTTAGATTATCACGATGGAAGTATTTGATTGCCATTCCTTTGCTCAATTATGTTAAATTGTTGCAGCTGTTTTTTGGGTTGATACAATTTGTTAAAAAGTTTTGGTGCTAACTTCAAACATTTTCCAACCACTCAAAAACTGATAGAATGGTCAAAAATCCCTCCAAAAAAATGCATGATCACACCAAGACCTTTAGGGACATGATAGGAAAATCCATGCCAAATCCTCTAAATGCCTGAGGTCTCTGGTTTGTGCTTGTGAAGTTTCATGAGGCTGTGGTTATCCTATAGGTCACTATAAGTCATTTATACAGTGATGTCCATTTCAAAAAATGGTCTCACCGCAATAAAATGGCTGTTATGGCGACTAACATTGTCACATGTGAATAAAACTGAGCTCATTAAATCCACAAAAGTCTCAGCTCTTCAGTCCGACCAAATCTATACAATTCCAAGACTGTTTAGGGACCCCAGTATGCAGAAATATTCAAATACAGTTAGCAAAAATAACACATTTGTACTGCATGTGAAAAACTGCATGGTTTTTGCTCAAAACTGCCTTGGACTAGCATTAAGTGGGTGTGTGTGTTGCTAGTTTTTCCCCTTGCTAAAACTTAACCTGAATTTGAAACCATAGAAATAAAATGAGTCGACAAGACACTGAACTGTTTGCTGTGGTCATTTGACTTGTTAAAAAGAGTATGGTGATTGTTGTTAGTTGTTATGGTGACAAGTCACATGCACTAGTTTGAGAGTAGGGAAAATATGCTGCGATCCAGCCAAAAAACGTGAATCGGATCAGATCACACTGCAGGGGAAAAGTGCGATACTAGCACTGTGATACTAGCACTCCATTCCACAAATCCGCTCTAGCTTCTCCATCCAGCACTTCTTTGTAACACATGAAGAAGAGGGGAGAGTGGGTCTGTGTTTGGTGAACTTTGGTCCCTGCAGTTCTATGTTTCACACACAGCAGCAGCACCAGGCTGCCACTGGCAGTAGAGATAACTGACTTTGGAAGTTATGACTTTTTTATTTATGTAACAGATGTCAAACAAAGCCTTCTTTTAAATTTGCTACTGCCTATTTTATGTTAAAAATTTAAATATCTAATAAATGGCTCAAGTTTTGTCATAATAACCTACTGTTGTGGACTATTCATCTCGGGAAATATGTTATTCTCATTTTGAGTAATAGCACTTGATCAAGCCTTTTCTATTATTCCACATTACAAAATAAGTACAAAAAAAGTGAACCTATTGGTCAGAACAGAAAGATAGAAATATGTGCTGGTATCGCATCGGTATCGTATCGGTACTAAGGCTGTGGTATCGGTATCAGATCGAAAGTGAATAAGTTGGATCGCAGCATCCCTATTTGAGAGCTCTATTTTGGCCTATTCTCACATCTGTTTTCCTTATTAAACTGAAAAATACAACCGTACACCAACCCAAGTTTCTCTCTTTCACCCCACTAACACTAACGTTAGCTCAAATGCCTTGTTAACCCATTGTGAAACACGCTTCATTCAAACTTGACAGAAACAAAATAAAACTCACCAAAATTGTCTCAGTTAGTTTTGTTAGTCATATAGTAATTTAGACCACTGTTCCAATCATCACCCACTTTGGTTTGGTCAAAATAATAATAATAATTTCATTGAAAAGTTAGATGTAAAAAATATTGTAGCTCTAAATGCTGTCTATCCCTGCTGTGCAGACGTTCCTCTGCATTGTCGGTGAAGAGCTAAAACAGCGAGAGCTGGATAAAGCAGTGACGCAGCTATTATCATCTGGTATCAACTTGTTCTACATAATAACAGTACTGTCTATGCTGAAAACACAAAACAGATCTACAGTTTAGATATATGGCCATAGAGGTTACATATGGTTCTAAGGGTACTATACCGAAAGAGTTAAAAAGAGGTAAAAATGCAGCTTATGCCTCTCAGCTGTCTGGTGAGCAGCTGTCCACTGATTATCAAATCTCACTCATTTTTCAGGGGCAGCCACAGTAATGTTACATCATGTTTCAACAAACATGAAATTCATACCAACAAAAGAAATTGGGAAATAAAAGTTATGTTGACATAGTAACGGTAAGGAATTGCTAATTTGAAAATGTGATGTTACTACTTCACTGCTCATTTGGTCATCACTGCAAAACCTCACCTCTGCTAGTTCAAGACTTGCCACAAGTTGGTTTGTTTTTGGGGAAGTTTATATGGCAGTTAGCCTGCTACAACGGTTGCAATGGCAACAGTACACATAAAAATAGCCACCGCTCTGACCATCCTGCCATGTCGATTTGAATGGCAATGTATGTTCTTTTCTGATTTTATCTCTATGATTGGAATGTTATTTAGCCCCATTCTAGACAAGCTAGCATGACATTATTGCTACCAATGGATTTCTTAGGTTTTCTATTTCATATCAAAGCACTATTACAGGCTACAGAGAATATAGCCTCTGACTGACAGGAATGTTGGCCACAGACACCGGCGTCCTCATGGAGTGGAGGAGTGTCAAGGAAGTTATATATTACAAGTTGTTTCACATTTAGATGTAACTGTTGTATTTTTCTGAGCTGGTATGAGGTGTAGGCCACTTTGTTCTCATGGATTGTAACAATGCCTGGGAAAACATGAATTGAGATGGGACAGGGATTCAGGCTACAACCAAAAAGGTCTTTACTAACAGTGACGGCAGAATGATAGCAGGTTGGTGTTACAAACATCTGGTGTATGAAATATCTTTATTCTTTAAAGAGGAGTCTGTAAATGACAGCAAATGCAGTGAAGACTCTCACACGGAGCAGAAATGAAACAAGTGCACATGAACTATGTTTTGGAACAGAGAGGCCGTCACAAATGCAAATCAGTGATTTTCAAACTAATTCATATTTGGCTTTATTTTTGGCATGCTAAAAACCCCAAAATGTAAAAAAAATAAAGATGTAAAAGATCATATCAGAAAAAGGGGGTGACCAGATGATGTGCTGTTGTGATCAACTGAAAAAGTTGGTAGCGCCAGTGCTACCTGTGTGAAAGTTAGTATGGTGCCCTGTAGAGGTTGAACCACTGTTTATGATGTTTGTTAATTATGTTGTATGTTTTCTTCCAGAAACTGTGTTGAAGTTTAGAGCTCTCAAGAAGCCTGCCCAGCTAGCAGTCATCAACAGTTTAGAGAAGGTACTTCTACCATCTTGTTTCTGTCCCAAACTATTACCTCACATTTGAATAGCCCTTAGAAAACTTAGGAGAGCACAGAAACAATATGTTCACTTATTGATATGCCCTTTGTCAGTGAATACCTATAATGCCAACAAATAATTGAGCAGTTGTTAACACTTGTTAGCAGAGAAATGTCAAGTGAGTCAGTTGGCCCACTCCTACACAACAGAGGGCAGCCGAGCTTCCAATTATTATTATTTTTAATGTCGTTATCTAAAGATCACAAGTTATTTTGTTACCTTGAAAAAACAAGGAGTATTGATATTATTGATCGCATCAGATGCTATTTGTAATGAAGTGGTAATATGCAGTGCTTCTCAAAGTTGAGGATACTTCCTTTGTAGGATGGGTCCATCCAAGTTGGGGACTACAGAGGCTAGGCAAGACTTCTTCCTAGCATTCGGTGAACACACATTGGAACTGGCCAGTGAGTGCTCAGATGTGCCATTGAAGAGGCCCCACCTACAATTCCAGTGATTCATGTGCAAGGAATTGTGGGTAATTCATGCTTGCTGAGGATACACACGTGCATCCTTGAATATTCTCTGAAGGAGGAACTCGGTCCTCTGAATAATTTGAAGGATCTGGAGGCGGGATTTGATGACGTAGCCTCCTTGAAATGCAGCCGTCTAAGTATACTTTCTTGACTTTGAGAAGCACCATCAATGTTGGCCAGATCACAGTCAGGTGTGCCCTGCAAGTGTCAGGAGTGTGCTAAACACACATTTGGTAGATTTTTGGTAGACTTGTGGTGCACCTGTGGTGCACTTGGGCATGGGGTGGGATCTGAAAGAATGCATTATTATAGGTGGATGCGTTAGAGGTTGTGACAGTCATGGCTGATCAAATTCACTACTTTCACCTCCTTTAATCACAGAGCTCTCCCCGTCATGACACACTGACAGCTTGGGAATAATGTGGAGAGTTTTGTGGAGCTGTGTGAACTGTTCATGACACCTGTTGATGTGTAGAGTAATGAATCAAAACATGTTTGATGTACACACATGTACTGAGTGATCTCAGGCCAGGTTTCACACACAAAATGACTTAGGATCCATCTGTAATTAGTGGGGCTGCACTAATAGCTACAGTTTAGGCCTGCAGCAGCAATGAAAAATAGTGTATTGTATTACTTCCGTGAAACACTCTCCAACCAGAATCTGCACAGAAAATAATGTTTAATGTGGTTAAACCAGGAAAGTCAGTAAATCCCTCTGCATTGATCTATGAAAGGAAACTTACTATGGTCTGGGAATATAT